CCAGGAATGAAGAAGCAATCATTTCCTCCTAACAGGCCTTTGCGTCTTTTTTTAATTTGTTCATTTGTTGTCTTTTCAACTTTCATTTTAGGTTCCTGGGGTACATGTGCAGATTGTTACATAGGAATACACATGCCATGGTGGTTTGCTGCATCCATCCCCCGACACCTACATTAGGTATTTCTCCTAATGTTATCCCTCCCCAGTCTCCTCACCCCTTATCTCTTCCCTAGCCCCTCCACCCCCAACAGGCCCTGGCGTATGATGTTCCCCTCCCTGTGTCCATGTGTTCTCACTGTTCAATGTCTACTTAGGAGTGAGAACATGTGGTGTTTGGTTTTCTGTTCTTGTGTCAGTTTGCTGAGAATGATAGTTTCCAGCTTCATCCATGTCCCTGCAAATGATGTGAACTCATCCTTTTTTATGGCTGCATAGTATTTCATAGTATTTCATATGTGCCACATTCTCTTTATCCAGTCTATCATTGATAGGCATTTGGGTTGGTTCCAAGTCTTTGCTACTGTAAACAGTGCCACATGAACATACATGTGTGTGTGTCTTTATAACAGAATGATTTATAATCCTTTGGGTACGTACCCAGTAATGGGATTACTGGGTCAAATGGTATTTCTATTTCTAGATCCTTGAAGGATCGCCATACTGTCTTCTACAATGGTTGAACTAATTTCTACTCCCACCAACAGTGTTGAAGTGTTCCTATTTCTCCACGTCCTCTCCAGCATCTGTTGTTTCCAGATTTTTTAATGATTGCCATTCTAACTGGCCTGAGATGGTATCTCAATGTGGTTTTGATTTGCATTTCTCTAATGACCAGTGATGATGAGCTTTTTTTCATGTTTGTTGGTTGCATAAATGTCTTCTTTTGAAATGTGTCAGTTCATATCCTTCACCCACTTTTTGATGGGGTTGTTTATTTTTTTCTTGTAAATTTGTTTAAGTTCTTTGTAGATACTGGATATTAGCCCTTTGTCAGATGGGTAGATTGCAAAATTTTTTTCCCATTCTACTGGTTGCTGATTCACTCTAATGATTGTTTCTTTTGCTGTGCAGAAGTTCTTTAGTTTAATATCTCATTTGCCTATTTTGGCTTTTATTGCCATTGCTTTTGGTGTTTTAGTCATGAAGTCTTTGCCCATACCTATGTCCTGAATGGTATTGCCTAGGTTTTCTTCTAGGGTTTTTATGGTGTTAGGTATTATGTTTAAATTTTTAATCCATCTGGAGTTAATTTTTGTATAAGGTGTAAGGAAGGGATCCAGTTTCAGCTTTCTACACATGGCTAGCCAGTTTTCCCAACACCATTTATTAAACAGGGAATCCTTTCCCCATTGCTTGTTTTTGTCAGGTTTGTCAAAGATCAGGTTATTGTAGATTTGTGGTGCTGCCTCCAGGGCCTCTGTTCTCTTCCATTGTCTATATCTCTGTTTTGGTACCAGTACCATGCTGTTTTGATTACTGTAGCCTTGTAGTGTAGTTTGAAGTCAGGTAGCGTGATGCCTCCAGCTTTGGGTTTTTTTGTTTTTTTTTTCTTAGAATAGTCTTGGCTGTGCAGGCTCTTTTTTGGTTCCATATGAAGTTTAAGGTAGTTTTTTCCAGTTCCATGAAGAAGGTCAATGGTAGCTTGATGGGGATAGCATTGAATCTATAAATTACTTTGGGCAGTATGGCCATTTTCACGATATTGAGTCTTCCTAACCATGAGCATGGAATGTTTTTCCATCTGTTTGTGTCCTCTCTTATTTCCTTGAGCAGTGGTTTGTAGTTCTCCTTGAAGAGGTCCTGCACGTCCCTTGTTAGTTGTATTCCTAGGACACATTAAAGCAGTGTCTAGAGGGAAATTTATAGCACTAAATGCCCACATGAGAAGCAAGGAAAGATCTAAAATCGACACCCTATTGTCACAATTAAAATAACTAGAGGAGCAAGATCAAACAAATTCAAAAGCTAGCAGAAGACAAGACTACTTTAGTATTTCTAACTGCCTTGGAGGTTTTGCATTTCAAAGGACTCTTTTATGGTAGCAAGTACAGCTGAAGAAAAATAACAATATCTCCTGATCCAACACTATTTTGGTTTGGTGATTGTGTACACTAAGGAAGTTCCCTTTCTTTAGTCTACGAACAACTTAGAAGCAGCAAAGGGCCATAGACCTGTGCACACTCCCACTGTTCTCTGCAGCCTCAGGATAATGAGTTCTCTACTCAGAAGTACTGTTCTTTTTACAACTGTTGTGCTAAATAAAATACAAATCTATATTTTAAACATTTTATAATAGTTCTCATAGATGGTTTTGTCAAAGCATGTGTTTTTAATCAGTTGTAATGTAAAGATTCTTCATCCACAGGGTAAAGGTCATTTACACTGGAGACTGATTATTGTAAATCATTCATTCTTTCAGCAATTGCCTACAGCGTCCTAGGCACCGTTCTGTGCTCTGAAATTGAGAGTGAATGTAATACTCTTCCACAAGATTTGGTATATTTCCTAATTAAAGATCCATATGGACTAAAACTCTTTTACTGGATAGAAGGGCTGAAAGTTCTTATAATTACATCCAGCTAGTTGAGAAAAATATGTACTTACTCATCAAATAAAAAGCCACAGGCTTGGCATGGTGGTTCACGCCTGTAATCCCAGTACTTTGGGAGGCCAAGATGTGTGGGTCATTTGAGGTCAGGAGTTCGAGACCAGCCTGGCTGACATAGCAATACCCCATCTTTACTAAAAATACAAAAATTAGCCAGATGTGGTGGTACATGCCTGTAGAACCAGCTACTCAGGAGTTTGAAGCAGGAGAATTGCCTGAACCCAGGAGGTAGGGGTTGCAGTGAGCAGACATACTGCCACTGCATTCCAGCCTGGGCAACAGAGTGAGCCTCTGTCTCAAA